TTGCATTGTGGTAAACTGTGGTCAATGTCATGAGACAAAGTGTATGTGAACTGCTGTATGGAAAGTGAATTTGCTCTGTAAATCTTCACCCAAATCATAATTAAAAAAAAAAAAAAGAGGAGACATGACAGGCAAGGCTGTGGGACGAAGAGCCCCACGGCGGATGGAGGTGCCCAGCCAACCCTGCAGGTGCCCAAGGCCACAAGAATCTACGAGCTGCTGCGTTAAGGCCCCACCCTGACCCACTGGGACATCCGTCAAACACAGCAATTCAAGATGCTCAGTGACCAAAGGCTCCAAACCCAGCATCTTTTTCTTAAAAGCGGAACAGTAAAAGAAAACACTGGCTTGCCGTTAGTTTCTTTGGCAGGCATGACAGGTGACCACAGGGTAAACTGGAGCACACGTCTCTGCACGCAGAGTTCATATTTACTCCCTCCCCCACAAGACAACCATTAACTTTGTGCAAACATAACAGTAGGTCTGATTGTGTGAAAGGTTACAGCAGCCAAGGGACAGGAGTATCTTCAGCGAGTGGCCGTCACGTGGAACAGGCCACTGACGGTCATACCTAGAGTGACTGGGTGTCACCTGCCCCAGGCCCTGTGCTGAGCACATGATGGGCGTCATCTTCACCCTAACCAGAGAGCCCAACGGCAGAGCAGGATCACAGAGGCACAGACCCTGCCACGGGGGCACACAGCATTCCAGCACCAACCCTGTGGCCCTCGGAGTTCCCGTAGACTCCCTCTATGCATTTATTAATGTTCACGTGATGGTGGTGGGAAGGGGCCTAGGGCAACGGTGTTCAAAGACCTGGAACTCAGATTCCAGCAACATCCAAACACATGTCCTCTTGGTCTGAAAACTGGGGAGCCAGCCACCAGCCTGCTCTCCCTACAGAAGGTGGCCCCGATTGGTCGGCTGAGAGTTCCACGGGCCTCCTGCCGCTCACAGCATCCTCTCCAGGTTCTAGGACACAACTGTGTGCTAGTCCAGAGTCATTGTAAAATTAAAAAACGACATTTTCAAAAATTAACCACTGTGGGGAGGGGTGTTGATAAAAAATACCTCTGCAGAGAGAGTCCTGGTAAACCTCAAATTACCAGAGGACTGTGGGCGTACACCTGGTTACAGATGTGAAGGTGGCAGCGTCCTAGGGGAAGGCAGGAGCACAGTGCAGTGGTAGTGACCCACCGGCGTACTGCAGGCCCACCCACCTTCTTTCCTAAGGCATGCACGTGCCTCCCAGGGCTCAGAAATGTGACACCATTTGATCTGCAGCCTATACAACCATGAGACCAGAAGAACTAGATGGTGCCCAGCTACCACTGTCATCCACTTGGAAGGGGATCTATGTAGGAGATCCTTGATTGAGAGGGAGAACAGTGTATCAAGACAGCTGTCTTGATGAGCTTGTCCCTCTGAGCCAGCTGCCTTAGGGGGGAAGGAGAAGGCACAGCAGCGGACAGGCAGGGGGGATCCTCGATGGCCTATACACAGATTTTAAGAAGCCAGCTTATCTTAGCTCACTAAACCTGGACACACAGGTAAATGGTAAAGACTTGAACAGGTGCTAAAGAGTCAAACCAGTGGTGAGTGGGCAGGAAGGAACTGGGAGGCAGAGGCAAGGCATGACGGAGGCGGCCGGGGAGGTGGCAGGCAGTGAATGTCACTGGGAACGAGCAGCAGAGCACAAGGCCCTGGGCTGAGGACTGGCAATGTCTGAAACAGTCACCTCCTTCCACAGAGGTCCTGGAAGGACCGGGCCAGCTGACAACAGGGCAGGAGGGTGGATTCCCATGGCACTGCTGGTGGCACCATGGTGGACAGGGCTAGGTCCCCATTCTGCCCAGCCCACACCACGCCCACACCACGCCATCCCATGCAATGTAATGCCAAACTATGCCACACCAGCAACTGCCCTTAGGAGAACGTGGGCCACAGCTCCAAGTCTGCACCCAGCGAGAGGGCCTACAAGCCTCCTGTCACCGAGCAGGCAGGGGACAGGTGGCAGCAGCCCAGTGCCACAGTGAGACGGGATGAAAGCCAGCTCCCTGGTGAGCGAGGCATGGGGTGTGGGGATGGTGGGGAGAGAGAGGATGAACACAACCAGCACACACCCACGGGACGGTCGTGGAAGGGCATTTGTTCAAGGAGCCTGAGGTGACGATGCGTGTGCGGTGAGCACAGGGCGTGGAAGGTGAGATGGCCCGACGCGTGATTACTCACCACAGCTATCACAGGGATGAGCACTCCCAGGTTCCCCGCACTGCTGGAGGCCTGCAAAAGAGCAGTTGGTCACCATGGGCCCAGCCTGCCTCGGTGATGAACCTGAGTTAGGCTTGGTCACCACAGGCCACCCTGCGTTGTCGCAGTGAGCACGTGCAAGGGACTTCACAAACACGCAGGGGCAGCAGTGAGCACTGGGACCTTTTGCAGGACTTCACCAGTACCCAACTGTGTTACTCTGCTGTCAACCAGTCTCCCATATAGGCGCCCAGGTCCACCTACACCCCACACTCGTACCCACGCTGTCCTCCATGCTCACACCCCACACTCATGCCACACTCACACCAGGACATGTGCTCACACTCACACCCACAATCTCAACGACGCTCAGGGCCCACACTCATGACCTATGTTCAGACCCCATGCTCCTACTCCATGCTCATCCCTCACGCTCGCGGCCCGTGGTTAGGCCCAAGTTCACGTCCACACTCACACCCACGCTGGGGTCCATGCACACAGTGGGGCAGCACAGCGGCACTTCAGCACACGCACAGTCGCGCTCTGGCTGGTGAACAGGAGCCAAGCTGAAAGGAGGAACGCAAACGGCCTGGGCCAATGGGTGAAAACAGGGCCGCTACCGTGGCTCCGTGGCCCAGCCCAGTCCAGCCCAAGAAGGAGCACTAAAGCCTGAGTCTTGAGCCTCAGTGTGTGGAGAGAGCCACCGTGGCAGCCGCCAGGGGCTGGGAGGGCCCTCCAGCACCAAGCTAGACCTCCTGGCAGAGAGGAGCAGCTTCGGACTCTCCCGGGACAGGTAACAGCACGGCTCTCAGGCCTCCGTGCCGCCGAGTCCCCGGAGCAGGGCTTCATCCTCGTGTAAGGCGCCTGCCGGGACGACGGCCCCTGTCCTGGACACTGGGCAGCAGCTGTGTCTGTCACTCAGCACGTGTTCAGGGACTGACAGAGGGAGAAGGGCTAGCGCCCTTCAAACCCAGCAGGGTCTTAGGTCCCTTTCTGTCCTCAGGGTCCACATCAGTCACCTCCTCAGAGACCACCCACAGCCTGGTTTCATGTCACTGATCTGCACCTCCAGACCCCATGTGGGCCATGAAGACTTTGTCTGTTTCTCTCACTTCCAGAACCCTGCCACCTAGAATAAGGGCCGGTAAACCAAGGCCAGGGCCACAGCCCACCTACCGCTGGCTTTTCTAAGTAACGTTTAGTTTTGTAAATCAGTATGGAGAATCCTGGATAGAGTGAGAGAACAACGTGGAACAAAACGCAAATTCATAAAAAAGACAAAGTTTGCTGGTATGCTAGAGCCTGGTAAGACCCCCAAGAATACTGAGACTATGGCCCCCACCTACTCTTCAGGTCTAAAACTGAACTCACTCCTGTGGCTCCCAGCCAAACAACGGGCAGACACGTGGGCTGACCGCTTACATCAGGTAGACACACTCCTTGGAGCGATCAGTGGTGGGAGAATAGAAGGGCAGCGTTTGCACAGGGAGACAGCTCGGAGGGTGGGAGTGCATGGGCAGGAAGGACACAGGGAAGAGTAACTATGGGGAGGAACTGGGAAGAGAGTGGTTACACTGTGGGGAATTGCAGTCAATGTCATGAAACAAAATGTGTATGAACTGCTGTATGGAAAATGAATTTGCTCTGTCAACTTTCACCCAAATCAAAATAAAAACTTTAAAAAAGAGACTTTAGCCATGACGCAGAATGGCCACTCGCTCACATGTTGCCGGCTCTTCTGCTACAGTGGCAGAGATGAGTGACCATGATGGAGACCGTGAGACAATTTACAATCTGGCCTTTTTTGGAGAACGTGCACTGACCATGCCTAGGACCACGGCTGGCATGCAGGGGAGGGAGAGAAGGGGAGCAGGAGGAGACCGAAGGAGGAGGAAGGTAGAGCCTGAGCAGAGGGCCTGGTGCCACATGACCCGCCAAGGGTGTGATGGGTAAGGAGGTGACCTGTCCTGGGCCCCCTTCCCCGTCCACCCAATCTCTCTCTCTCTGGAGGATCAAGTTTGTCCCCATGGACCTGTCGCCTTCAGATGGCCTGGTGTTAGTTCACACTTGGCCCTTTTCCTGCGGTCCCTGTGCTCTAAGGTCTGTCCTGGGGTGGCCACAGTCCTGCCGTGGATGAGGGAGGCGAGAGGGATCTGGGCAGGGTGCCATTGTTGGGGTAGCAGGTGTCTGCCACGGGCCAGACACCATTCCCAAGTAAGTGACCATTCCCAAGTAAGTGGTCCTCATCCCCCAGCCCCTGGCAGCATCCCAGAGAAGGCAGTGTACCCCACCACACCCACTCCTTGGTTCTTATCCTTCACTAGACAAACCAACATCACTAGAGAGTGAAGTCACTGAGCTTCCCCAAGATGGCGGCTGGCAGCCCCGGCCAGACCGGCAGGTGCACGCGCGCTGAGCCTACCTTCAAGGCGGGGCCCTTCTCACTGGCCCTCTCGCTGGCGCGCTTCCCCTCCAGCCCCAGCTGCACGAACAGCTCCAGCAGGTTCATGAGCAGCTCATCGACCAGGTGCTCCCCCAAGATGGCGGCTGGCGGCCCTGGCCAGACCGGCAGGTGCACGCGCGCTGAGCCTACCTTCAAGGCGGGGCCCTTCTCACTGGCCCTCTCGCTGGCGCGCTTCCCCTCCAGCCCCAGCTGCACGAACAGCTCCAGCAGGTTCATGAGCAGCTCATCGACCAGGTGCTCATCCTGGATGTTGGCTGCGATGTTGGCCAGGGCATTGATGACGGCCAAGGAGCAGTGCCTGAGGGGAGGGACCGTCACTGGGGCGGCAGACACAACCAGCAGGGCAGCCCCACAGTGCTGCCCTGTCCTCGCTCCTCACACCGATTCAGGCCTGGACTCCGTGCAGGAGGTGGGCGGGCTGAGCAAGGCCCTGGGCCTGCCTCACGGGGCCCCTCTGGAAACAAGGAATACTACGAGGTGATGAAAACATCATTCCTGTAAAAACAGCGACCACCTGCAGGGAGCCACTCCCCACAGAAATGACTGACCCCATTTTCAGAGATGACTGAGGGCCCAAGGAGACGGGTGGAAGTTTCTGGAATCTGCACATCTGGAGGCCTGTGATGGCTCTGGGATATTGTCCGCACTCAACTCAAAGGTGTGATATGACCCAACTAAGCACCGTCTGGCTGGGGCTGGCTGACTTTTCCATCACGTTATTAGCTGTCACTGACTCTGCCCCTGACTCCTGGTGATCTCATAAAAAACAGGGCCAGACTGTTGTGCCCAGAGCATTTTCCATGGCTGAATTTTTCAGAACTAAAATACCAGGCCTTCCTCCCTAGTCTGTCTTAGCCTGGAGGTTCCAATGAATTCTGCTTAGTGTCCCAGCAACACATAAGCCTCCATGGACACACAGGCAGGCGGTGGAGGCTACATGAGACACAGCGGCCAGGAATCAAATCCCGGTCTTCCATATGGAAGGCCAGACTCCTACCACTGCCCCACCACTGCTTTCCCTCCAACTATGCAAACCCACTGCCAGGGAGTCGATTCCTGCTAACAGCGCCCCTAGAGGACAGAGTGGAACTGCCCCAGAGGGTTTCCCAGGCTGTCAATCTTCACAGAAACAAAGCCCCAACCACACCCACTGCCACAGTTGATTTCGACTCACAGCAACTTCCACTGCGTTTCTGAGGTGGTAAATCTTTACAGAAGCAGGTTGCCCCATCTTCCTTCTGAAGAGCAGCTGGGGGCTTTGAACCAGCAACCTCCTGATTGGCAGTCAAATGCCTTAGGCACTATCCCACCAGAGCTCCTTAACTGTGCTGAGAGCTAGCACTTATGGAGTTCCGGTGTCCTTGGCACTGATTTAGGCATGCCATGCAGACATTTAACCCACACACCTGGAGCCAGATGTCATGTACTGGGGATGGTGGAGGTCAAGGAGGCTCGGTATCTCCTGGTCACACAGCCACAGGTTGGCCACACAGACTCAGTGGGGTCACACAGAGGAGTGCTTGGCTTTCATGGTAGGAAAGTGAGGAGCCTGGGTATCTGAGGGCAGAGTGCCACCAAGAGGGCCCCTCATTCTTCTGCCTTCCTGTGTCCCTCTTAACCAGTGATCTGACAAACTCTTGTCACATTTTCCAGAAATGCATAAGTGCATCCCCATCCTCCAGGCATGGCCAGTTACACGCAAGAAAAGGCCATGGGTCCGGAAAGAGAGGCCAGAAGTGACAAAGGTACACACGGCTCCCACACGGAAAACACTCACTTCAAATCCACCAAATTAACCAAACCCACCTGCTTGGACCGTGCCTAAGGACAACTTGGAGACATTCACAAATAGGGAACATTAGGTTGTTCAATGCAGCACTTAAAAGCAAGAGAACCAGAAAAGGAGCTGAGCGCCTGGCTCAGGGACGAGAAGGGACAAGCTCAGTGCTGGGGCACAAGGAGCCCTGCACAGCTATCCACGATGATGTGTGCGAAGGGTCGGCACACCGCAACGCCGTGCCCGGCAGACTCCCACTGCACACAGCATGCCCGGTCTGACTCCGTGCAGAGGAACAGGGCCAGAAGTCGCCCACCGCAACGGCTGCGTATGCACACGGCTGCGTGTGCTTTCACGTGTTGCCAGTGTGTTCAGTTATTTGCAACACAAACTGCTTTCCTTAGGAGGAAAAGTTTATTCACAACACAAACTCCCCAACCTCTGTACCCAAAGGAAGCTAAACAGGGTTGCAGCAGTAAACGCCAAGGGGCCCCGAGAATTACCTGTAGCCGTGATCCTTGTAGTCCTTGGTGGCTGAGTACACAACAGAGCTGGCTTTCACACTGATCTGCTGGAACAGGTTCCACACCTCCTGATAGATGTATTGCTGGAAGACAGCGAGGGAGACCGTTACCATGCCCTGCGGCACCTCCAGGAAACTCAAAAAGGTCCTCCTGTCTTCTGCGGCCAGAGGGAAACCTCAGATTATCAGGGCCCAAAAGGCTATCGGGGGCATCTATTTCCTTTTTTTAAAAAAAACTTTTATTGTCATTTGGGTGAAAGTTGACAGAGCAAATTCATTTTCCACACAGCAGCTCATACGCATTTTGTTGCGTGACATTGACTGCCATTCCCCACAACGTAACCGCTCTCTGCCCACTTCCTCCCTGTGGCCACCTCCTGTGCCCTTCCCTCCCATGCACTCCTGCCCCCTGAGCTGTCTCCCTGTGCAAACACTGCCCTTCTCTCTCAGGACTGATTGCTCTAAGGAGTGTATCTACTTGATGGAAATATTCACCCCATATGCCTATGTGGCTGGAAGCCACGGGACAGAGTTCAGTTCCAGACCTGAAGGGTAACGAGGGGCCATAGTCTCAGGGGTCTCACCAGGCTCTATCAGATGAGCAAACCCAATCTTTTTTTTTTATGATGTTGAGTTTTGTTCCACAGTATTCTCCCACTCTCTGCAGGATCTCCTATATCAACCCCCTCCAAGGGGGTGTCTATTTCAAAAGCTTTAAAAAAACCTCAAAGAAAAAGCTAAAAGGGAGGTCACTTCGATTCCTATCCTATTACAAGTTAGGACCACTGCAAGAAATGAGTTTGGCTCTTTCATTTCCCAGAACATAGGGAACTTTTACACTGCCCACTTCCACCTGAGAAACCCCACTGATCAGTGTGAAGACAACCTGAGTATCTCACTCCATTGCAAGGTAAGTTAAGATCTGTACCTTCCCATCCTTAATAATCAAAGGCTTTGAACGAGGCCTGCAGCACGTGAGTAGGTTTGAAGGCTCTGGTCTCTAGGCCAGGGGTTCCCTTACATTTCCAGTGATGACCAGGCAACCCAGCTGGTCAATGATGAGCACGTCGAGAGGTGAGGGTGGCTGGCAGAATTTCTGCTGCAGGATCTGCAGAATTGGCTCCATGATCTTGGGAGTGTCCCTCAGGGCCACTGCAATGTGTCCCAAAGCCCGGATAGTGTGGTCAGGAATCAGGTGGGCATCCCTATGGGAGGGAAGAGCACAAACTTCTAGAACAGTCCTTGAGCATGAGATAGTGAAAAACTCTCACTGTAAAACCCCCAGGGGCACCAAACTGCGGGAGGTGGGCTGTAGATTCAACTTTGCCACCGTCTTGATGAGGCATTAATCTGAAGACGACAGTCAGGTGTCTGTAAGAACCAGGAGGAAGATATAAGCCTTGGACACTAGGCTGATGACAGAGCTCCTTCTCTATTCCCAACTGGTGGTCCACGATAGACACTCCAAGGAGGTGTCACCTCAAGTCTTATGACAAATGTCAATTCATGACTCCCCTCAACGACAAGAGAAGCAATGCCAGATCCAGACTGGTTAAGAGAACCCCATCCTGCCAACTATATCAAACCGATCAAGACAGACTGAGATCATCCAGTCCTGACACGGTGCGGTGTAGTAAATTACTTAGTGTGGCTTTTCTACCCATAAGTCTTTGTAAACTCCAAGGTGGGATTTTGTATGAGCAACTGAGCAGCCCCTGATTGCTGAGGCTATCCACCTGGGTTATTTCTGTTGGGAGTGGCACAATACAATGTTCTGGGAGGTGCCCACTCTCTCTCAGGTGCTTAGAGT